TTATACATTATATTGGGGTCCCTGTGGGTTTATTTATACATTATATTGGGGTCCTCGTGGGTTTGTTTATACATTATATTGGGGTTCCTGTACGTTTATTTATACATTATATTGGGGTCCCTGTGGGTTTATTTATACATTATATTGGGGTCCCTGTGGGTTTATATATTATATTGGGGTCCCTGTAGGTTTATTTATACATTATATTGGGGTCCCTGTAGGTTATTAATACATTATATTGGGGTACCTGTGGGTTTATTTATACATTATATTGGGGTGCCAACCTCCCCCTCACCCTTTGTATAGGCAGTGCCAACCTCCCCCTCACGCACAGTATAGGCAGTGCCAGCCTCTCCCTCATACACAGTATAGACAGTGCCAGCCTCTCCCTCACACACAGTATAGACAGGGAAAGCCTCTCCCTCACACACAGTATAGGCAGTGCCAGTCTCCCCCTCACACACAGTATAGACAGTGTGGCGGAACCAACCTCGCCACTGTCCACTGGAGAGGCCTGCTCCCTTTAGACTATGGTCCTGCATTTTAAACTTTTATTTTACCTGCAGAAAGGTTTATTCGTGACTTTCTGTGGACTGTTAAAGCCATGCTACCCCAGATAGCTATGCCATGGAGCCCAGCCGTATACTGAAAGACTGTATGAAAGACTTTGGCTCCATGGCAATTGAACTGTATGTATGTGATCTGAGCACCATCCGGTAATAATGTGCGCTCAGATCTAAGCTATCTGGGGATAGGTAGAATGTGTATGTTCTATGTGATAAATGTAATCGTATGTATTTTTATGTCTTTTATTGTCCTTTGTCTGCCATGTGTTCAATGGAGTTTTGCCTCTGTCCTTGGAGATAATTGGATTACTTCCCAATTATCTCCAGGATAGAAGACTTTGTGGAACTGGTTTTGGGCAGAAAAGCCATGCTTCATTTGGTCAAATAGGACTTTTCCTTAACTTTTTGACCCCTGGATGGAGTTGGCTGAATTTTGGTTATGTTTATATTTAAAGTATGCTGATTCTGAATATGTATGTTTTATGTGAATATGATGCATATTTTTTAAAGTTACAGTGTATGTATAAAAAGTGTATTTTTCCTGCCTGTGATAAATTACATTAACCCATTGTGTTCAGTAATTATATCACAGGCAGAGGGGAGGGATGTATGTTTGTGCTGGGTGTGTTTTATGGCTCTCCCGTAAATGATTGGTTGTACTGTGTCCCACCCTAGGGGATGTCCCCTTGCATGAGGACTTGCATAAAAGCCAGTGTGTGGCCATTACAGTGGAGTTCCTGCTTAACCCTCAAAGTGAAGTGTCGTCTCATTATTGGGGGAAGGATTTATTGTATGCTGTTCCAGTTTGACTGCTAGGAGTGTAAACCTATTCGCATGGTTTTTCCTATTCGGCTGTATACAACATTCAGATGCTTGAGGGCATTCATATGCTCCTACGGTTCGGTGGTTTTGGTGTCTGCTGCAGTGCTTGGAGTCCTCAGGAAGTGCTAGGAGCATCCTTTAACGGAGGTACCCAGTCGGGGTGCCAGGTGATCCGTTACAGACAGTGCCAACCTCTCCCTCACACACAGTATAGGCAGTGCCAACCCCTCCCTCACACACAGTATAGGCAGTGCCAGCCTCTCCCTCACACACAGTATAGGCAGTGCCAGTCTCCCCCCTCACACACAGTATAGACAGTGCCAGCCTTTCCCTCACACAGTATAGACAGTGCCAACCTCTCCCTCACAGACAGTATAGTCAGTGCCAACCTCTCCCTCATACACAGTATAGGCAGTGCCAGCCTCTCCCTCACACAGTATAGGCAGTGCCAACCTCTCCCTCACAGACAGTATAGGCAGTGCCAGTCTCCCCCTTACACACAGTATAGGCAGTGCCAACCTCCCCCTCACACACACAGTATGTACAGTGCCAACCTCCCCCTCACACACACAGTATGTACAGTGCCAACCTCCCCCTCACAGTATGTACAGTGCCAACCTCCCCCTCACACACACAGTATAGGCAGTGCCAACCTCTCCCTCACACACAGTATAGGCAGTGCCAACCTCCCCCTCACACACAGTATAGACAGTGCCAGCCTCCCCCTCACACACAGTATAGACAGTGCCAGCCTCCCCCTCACACACAGTATAGACAGTGCCAGCCTCCCCCTCACACACAGTATAGACAGTGCCAGCCTCCCCCTCACACGCAGTATAGGCAGTGCCAGTCTCTCCCTCACACGCAGTATAGACAGTGCCAGTCTCCCCCTCACACGCAGTGCCAGCCTCTCCCTCACACACAGTATAGGCAGTGCCAGCCTCTCCCTCACACACAGTATAGACAGTGCCAACCTCCCCCTCACACACCGTATAGACAGTGCCAGCCTCTCCCTCACACACAGTATAGACAGTGCCAGCCTCTCCCTCACACACAGTATAGACAGTGCCAGTCTCCCCCTCACACACAGTATAGACAGGGCCAGTCTCCCCCTCACACACAGTATAGGCAGTGCCAGTCTCCCCCTCACACAGTATAGACAGTGCCAGCCTCTCCCTCACACAGTATAGGCAGTGCCAGTCTCCCCCTCACACACAGTATAGGCAGTGCCAGTCACCCCCTCACACACAGTATAGGCAGTGCCAGTCGCCCCCTCACACACAGTATAGGCAGTGCCAGTCTCTCCCTCACACACAGTATAGGCAGTGCCAGTCGCCCCCTCACACACAGTATAGGCAGTGCCAGTCTCTCCCTCACACACAGTATAGGCAGTGCCAGTCTCTCTCTCACACACAGTATAGGCAGTGCCAGTCGCCCCCTCACACACAGTATAG